AATAGCTCTTCTTTATATGCTCGGTTAGTGGTATAGTTTTATGTTCTCATTACTGAATGACATTGCTTTTAACTGGGGAGTCTGGTTCATCGATTTAGTGGGAATTCCCTGGAGTCTAGTGGTTCTAGGATTCCTTGGGGGACTTCAGTGGACTATCAACCCAGTTATTTTTATAAGGAGCCAATTTTGGGACTGAAACTAATTTTGAACATGTAAGCTTGGTTATATCAAGCTCAACGTTCTGCTGGTTGTGAGCTTTGTAGTTTGCTGTTCTTGATTGTATTTTGGTTTCCATGAGGCATTCTATGGAAGATGTGAGCTTGGCCGAGCTTGATGCCTTTTGGTTGTATTTCCTTTCAGTAACTCTGGAGTAAAATTTCACCGAGGTGTAATCAATAGGGGTGGCAATCTGGTACCCGTTAGGTACCCATTTATTTTGTACCACCACTAACAAGGTGGTAATGGTGGTGTTGGTACTGGTGGTGGTGAAATACACCTTGTTGGTAATGGTACCTACATAAACGGGTATGCAATGGGCCTTTCGCCACCCCTAAATATATCTTCAAATTTTATCATTTATGTGGTTTGTGCTTAAGTTGTTTCTTCCAATGCCAGAAAGCTAGCTGCACATACTGCTCAGCAGAAGCAAGAAAAGAACGAGGAAGAAGATCGGTTAATGCAGCAGAAAGCTAGAGAGCTTGAGGCTTTTGATCAGCAAAACCACGGTGCAATTCCACAATACAATGATAGAAACCAGAGCCAAGATAAGACTGGTTTCCACGGGGCAAACAGTGTGAAGGTCACTTCTTATGAAGAGGAGGCTCTTCGGACAATGAAAGCCTTTTGGCTGCCTTCTGCTACACCAGCAGCTCCTGTTAAAGTAGATGCTCCCTCTATGAGCACAGTCTGTCCAGAAGGAAATGAGAAACTAAAGCTGAAGTCCCTATTCTCTGTGTATTACACAGAAGACAATAACGAGAAGAAAACTTCATCTCTGGATAAGACATTTATCTGTCCGAGCTGCAAGGTTACCTTGACCAACACGCTGTCACTCGTGGCCCTTAGTTCATGCGGGCATGTGTTTTGTAAAAAATGTGCTGATAAGTTCATGGCTGTAGATAAGGTTTGCCTTGTTTGCAGCAAGGGATGCAAAGAAAGGAACTTGGTGAACTTGGCAAAAGGAGGAACAGGCTTTGCAGGGCACGATGATAATCTTGAAGCAAGAGACTTCAAGCATTTGGGGAGTGGTTCCGGATTAGGGTTGGTGAGACCCGCCGCGAAGACTTAACCTCGAAAGGATTTGGGGAGTGGTTCCAGGTTAAGTTCATCCTCAAGAAAAGAAAAGAGAAGTTGCACCAAAGGTTCTTCCTTTTGTTGTGGCTTTGATGATTTTGTAGGCGGTATGTGTAAGTTGATTTGTGCCTATGCATTGCTTGATCATGTTTTATTCTGCGTGAAGCTATAGTTATTGAACAATTAAACATGGATTACCATAAACTAAATCCTAGATAATTGATAATTGCTAAAACAGTGGGACCACCTCACAAATGATGGGGCCGCGACATAAACTTTCTTACACCATGCTATCACTGTGATAGTATTTCGAAAGTTATTACGTGCAATTATTACAGTAACATTTTCATTGCATGGAAGTTCTTGTCGGTTGAATGTATTACATAGACCAACCCTTGTAATAGGATCCCGACATTTTATTGGTGAGCTTTTTTCATGTGGGGTGTTCTAGTAGAAATTCTCAGTGTGTCGGAAACGTAGTCTGTTATACTAAGTGTCATAATACAAGTGGTTATAATTTTTTTTATAAATATTTCGGTGTATCGGACTCTATTTTCAGTATATTGAAAAATCCCTCGTGTTTTAGAGGAATGGAGAGAACACTTTAGTTTTTTATATTTTTTTATTTTTTTGAAGCTGGAGAGAACACTTTATTGGAAACTATGGAATGGATCAAAAGCTCGTGCTTATCTAAAACAAAATCCACACAGCAATGAGCCAGCAGTATCGGTCCCCACGCACGCGATACATATCGGATCATTTAAAATATAGTCCAATCCGTTAGACCTTTAATTAAAGAATCCATAAATTAATTAACCCAATTATTAAACAAATATGATTAAGCCAAGTGGGATTTATGCATGAAACGTTGCAAATACAGCTCACGCTCCGGTGGGCGTTGTTGACGAGAAATTTTTCAATGTGATCCGAATTCGAGATGATACATCATTTGTTATTGTATAAATAGTGGAAGAGAAGTGTTAGTGGCATTCCAAAAATCTCATTCTACACTCCTCACAAGTGTATTTTTCTTTCTAAATATAAAAAGTTTGGAGTGTAGAATGAGAAATTTGGAGTGCCAATAACAACTCCTATAGTGGAATATGTGTGTTAAAAAATTAAACTTTTCACTATTTGTATAATAACATGTGATGTATCACTCTTGTTCCTATCACAATAAAAAATTTCTCGTTGTCAACAAACACTTACGGGCACCTGAGGCCTAGCCGTATTGATTGTTTTCTCACCCACCATTATCGCTCATTTAACTTATTTTTTATTCATCGTTTCAATCTATATTAATTTTATAATTTTCTTTTTGATAGAGTAAGATTGATTCGTTAATCTTAGAATATTATCCCCACTAATGACTTAACCTAATATCTTGAACCATAATTTAGCCTCATCCCTTTGTTTTTTAAATAATGTCTACCTAATTAAACGGCAACCCAATTTTATTCGGCCGCTGTCGGTTGGCGTCGCATGATTTTCTCTTTCTGTCGATCAATTAATACGTATTTTAGACCATCATAACAATATTATCGTAAAATAACCTCAAAATAATTGGAATCTTGGATATCAATATTGTCGCTGTATACATGGGCAATAGTCTGGAGTACGGTAGATTTTTCGTGTAATATGAGATGCGGGGACAAAGTCAAGAGGAAGAAGAAAGGGAAATGAGTTGTCCGTTCGAATCAACTATCTTTTAATCAATCTAATTCATAGTTTTTCGAGTGTTACATTTTGGTGCTAATCATTTGTTCCAATTGGTTGGAGAGGAAAAGTGTCTAAAAAGATTGGTGAGGATAGAATTGCACCACAGTACATATGTCACATCTCAGTCTCGACTCCGTTGTAGCACAATATTGTCTGTTTTCGGCCCTGACCATGCCCTCATTGTTTTGTTGCTGGGAACTCACACGAGAACTTCTCAGTGGGTCACCCATCCTGGGAATGCTCTCCTCCGAGCTCACTTAATTTCGGAGTTCTGATAGAACTCGAAGTTAGTGAGCTCCCAAAAGGTCACATGCTATATGGAGGTGGGCATGTACATATAAGGCACATCACCCCTCTCCATTGGTTGACGTGAGATGTTACGATCCACCTCCCCTTAAGGGCCCAACGTCCTCGTCTGCACACTTGCACCGAACAACAGAGTGGCTCTGATACCATTCTGTCACATCCTGACCCGGGCTCGACTTTGCCGTAACACAATATTGTTTGCTTTGGGCCCCGACCATGCCCTTACAGTTTTGTTTCTGGGAACTCACACGAGAACTTCCTAATGGGTTACCCATCATGAGATTGCTCTCGCCCGAAATCACTTAACTTCGGAGTTCCGATAGAATCCGAAACCAATGAATTCCCAAAAGGCCTCGTGCTGTAGGAGGTGAGCATGTACATATAAGGTATCGAGGATCCTTTCCCTTGGGTGATGTGAGTTCCCAAAAACAAAACCATGAAAGTGTGGTCAGGGCCCAAAGCAGACAATATCGTGCTACGGCAGAGTTGAGCCCGGGTGGAGATGTGACAATTATTGTTAGATCTCACATCGCCCAGGAGAGATGATCCTATATGTTTTTATATATACATGCCCACCTCTTATAGCAAGAGCTTTTTGGGAACTCACTGACTTCAGATTCTATCGGAACTCTGAAGTTAAGGGAGTTCGAGCGAGAGCAATCCCATGATGGATGCTACCCACTAGGAAGTTCTCGAGCAAGTTCCCATATCGAGATGTGACAACATAAACATTCATTACTTTTTGCTATTGCACTAAAGCGTTATCTGCCGTAATGGCATCGTTTGTTTACGAAAAAATGCGATATTAAATGGGATGAGGGTGGATTACCAAACAAAGACCAGTAAACTTGGCAGAAAAAAGGAAACAAACGGAAACAAATTAAAGAATAAAGAAGGCCGTTAATTAGGTGGATTAAGCGAGAGGTGGTTCCTAAATCTCCTCCTAATATCTCTGTTTAACATGACAACCGCAAAAGGCCGTTCATCAACCAAAAGGGTGCGGGGTCCACATCAAAATTAAAAGAAAAGGGATAATAATTATTAGACAAAATTCTAGTAATGCTCTCTTAATTTAGAGATTGTCTCTAAATGCCCTCGAAAACGCTAAAATTTGTTTTTGGACAACCAAAAATTATTTTGTGACAAAAATAGGCTTAGCAAATGTTAAGTGGCGTCTTTTGTTTCAAAGAAGGGTGACCTTTGTAGGTAGATGAGTTTGAATCAGAATGGTTGTTTAACACTCTGATCTCTGATGTAAACGTTTTATTTTGAATTTACTCAAAGCCTTTATCTATTTTGATTTGCTTTTTAGATTTTAATCTGTTTTGTCTTTTTTCAAATATTTTAGAGCATGCCATTTGACTCCAATCTTAGCCATGTCCAAAATTTTCATTAAATTAAAGGTTATTTTAATCCTTATTCAATTGATAAATAATAGAATATGTGACCAAATTTGACGATTTTGGACAAATTGACATGTTTTAAAAGATTCAGGGGTCCACAATCGAATTAAAATTTGGGGCTGAATTGAAAGAATGTGATAAGTGAGAGGGGCCGTTGGTAAATTGATGCCTAATTATTACCTTACGCGCCAACAAAATCCCCACCCGCCTCGCCAACAGACAATCGTCACTATCATCCCCACCTCCCCAATTACTCATAAATAAATAAATAATCCCCAAAAAGAAAACTTGAATATTATTTGTTTTGCTATTTAAATAAATAATTTCAGTTCATTGCTTCTTCTGAGAATCACGTTCATTGAATGCCCAAAAGCGAAGACGCATAAGGAGGAGGAGGAGGAGGAGAGAGAGAGAAAACGGAGGAGCAGCGAGGAAGAAGGAGACCCTAGAGCTTAAGCTTCTGGTTTTGGGGTTCGGAAAATGGGGGATTTGGAGAAGCAAGAGACGGTACTGCTGAAGATGGCGGAGGAAACGGCGGAAGGGGAAGAAAATGAGAGGCTTTTGGAGGGAAGTGGAATGGCGGTCGTGGATTTCGACCTGCTCTGCTCGACGGTGGCGTTGCAGACCCAGGGCAAGCTGGCGGCCAAGCTCCAGAGCTTCCCCAGAGGAGAGGAAGACGGAGACGCAGGGGACTTGGGTGGCGTCTTCAGGATGTGGGAAGGTGAAGTCCTCGATTGCTTCGATGACCGTCGTGTTGCTCTCGAATCCCTCTGGTCCGTATCCCTCTCTCCCTCTTTTCCTGTTTGGATTCCCGGAAAATTCCTTTTCCCGAGAGAAAGTTTTAATCTTTGTTGTAAAGATGATTTCTTTTGCTTTGGTTTCTATATACTTTTCGAATCATTTTCGTTTCGTATTTGGTTGCTGAGGATACGTATTTTCTGCCTGTCGTTGAATTATACAGAAGTAGTCAAAGAAATTGATTGGGTCAATGTGTTCTTTATTTTTTGTTTGTTGAAAATTTGAATTGCTTGTTTAGTTTGACTAATCTTTGACTAATTTTTGCCATGTATTTTGATGCTGCAGTTGCCCGTGCTATAGATTTGGGAAGAACATGAGACGAGCTGGTTTCGGTCCTTGTTCGTTACAGGTTTGTGATTCTATCTTTTTTGTGATTGTTTTGGTAGCTGTGGAAGTGAGAATATGAGGATGTTTTAGGTGTAACTGTTGAACAACCTGTGTGCTTTCAGCTCGTTTGGATTTGAAGATTTGGTTTTCGGGTGAATAAGGCTGGTTTAGGTAGATGCTGAATTTCGGTATGTAATTTTGCAGGGAGCTCTTCATTTGATCCTCGTTGTTCTTGTCCTTCTCAACGGCATTGCCTTCATTGTCACCAAGAAGCACTGCTTTCTATATTTGGCGGTTGCTTTCACCATTTCACTAGGAACGTATTTGGGGTACTTCCGAACACAGATAAAGAAGAAATTTAACATCAGGGTAAGTCTTCTCTCTTTGTCTATCGTGGTGTTCGGTTTCTTACCAACCGTTAATATATGCTGTTACCTGACTTGGTGTTTCTCTTTGTTATATTAGTATTTTCCTGGTAACTATCTCTTACTAATTCCAGTTAACAATGTTCATGTCTTATAACTTAAATGGTTATTCAATGGAGAAAAGCGACATTAGGTATAGAAAAATACTGAAACTGTGGGTGTGCTAGGGTAGATGGTCTGCTTTTCCCTCCTCGTGGAGAGGGTGCTGTTACTGCTATACGATCAATCATTGCAATTGTAATGAATTGTTTCGTGAATCTATGGTTATTCTAATCCATGCCTTCTAATCGTTTTCGTGGTCATCATTGCGGGCAATGCCTGTTATTTTCAGGGTAGTGATAATTCCTTGGATGATTGCATCTACCATCTCATCTGCCCGTGCTGTGCATTATGTCAGGTGATTATCCTTTGAGAACATATGCCTATAATATGATTGTCAAAAGTAAAAGTAGACAGATCTTTTAATTCTGATTAATTATCTAATTTTTTGAAACTTATGGATGCTATTCTTACAATATGAGCAGGAATCCAGAACATTGGAGATGAACAATGTCCAAGATGGCACCTGGCATGGTCGGGGTGATACGATATGTATAGGTAGCCTTGGAGAAGGCGCAAAATCGTTGTTTGAGCTACAACCGCCGCCTATTGTCTCGATCAAATCCCCTGACCCCTGCAGCTGATAGAAAAGTAAAGATTCATGTGAATATCCACGAGTTAAATAAGCCGGGCATTTGCCATTCCAGAAAGTGGCCATAGCTATGATTGGAAGTCGGACTTTCCATTTGATATCTTCCGCTAGAAGGATTGTTATGGCTTGCCATCGGGAAGGAAAACATTTTACGTTCGGGATTGCTGTGGTCGCCATCTGGAAGTAGAACTGCTTTAGATTCCTGCTCCACCTTGTAATTGCTGTGTTTTCAGCTGTGGAAGGTGTAAATTATGTGATGAAGAAGATTTCGTTGCCCAGGTGTAAAATTGTAATTGTACATATGATGTGCTGCTGGGGTTTCTTAGATTGATCCCCATTCTCTAGATTTGCTTCTTGTAATGCTGTTTAGGTTTGGAAATGTTTAATACAAGCGATATTGAGAAGAGCAAATTGAACGGTGAATGGATGAATGCTCTTTATCAACGGAGTGATGCTTCTGCTCTTAAAGGAGAGTCACGTGATGTGCACGTTATAAGAGTTAACATTAATTTAGATAAAATCTATAGAAAAGTAACGGTAGGGGGGAAATCGAAAACTAAGTAAAAGTTCATGAGAAAATCGGCAGTTTACTTCAAATTCATGAATGATTAATTAATTAACGACTTGGAGAAATCATAATAATACCAGCACGTGGTACACAACCTATTTTGTCCTTTACTAAATTCTCCCTTTTTTTGGTTTTTTTAACATTTTAATTAAAAAAAAAAAAAGACTACTGGTGGCTTCGCGACTGTAATCCATACTTTCGTGATTGAGAAGACTCACAGAGGCATTTCAACCTCTCCTTAGCTACCACCATGTGATTTATTAGGCTAAAAATCGAATTCAGAACATGTCGTGTGAAATATGGCCTACCCGTTTAAATTCTGAATTCAATCCAAATAAATTAGAAATTAGTCCTCTATCAATGGCTACTAAAGTCGTACTACAAAATTTCCAGAATCTAAAAACTGAGCTACAAAAGTGCTTCTGGTTTGGACATGAACAGACACATCGTGGACCAAATCGAAATGCTCCCAGCAGCAGAATTTCTACAACTCCGGAACTGCCGTTGATGGGGTTGTCACCGCTTTGGTTTTCTTTGTGCCTTTCTTGGTGTTTGCCTTTTGATAGGCATTCTTGTACCTGTTGGCTTCTCTGTCTTGGAATGAAGTTTCCAGTTTCCCAAAAAAACAAAAAAAAAAAAAAAAAGAAAAAAAGAAAAAAAAGGGGACCTTACATTGTTCTGATTGTGCAGGTAGTAATTAATAAGTTGGGACAATATCGGTATTGTTGGAGCTGAGACTTTAACTCATCTCTATAATAATTTGATATGGTATCTGAGCAAGCAAGCAGACCCGTATTGTCACGTGCTGAGTGGATTCCAACTAATACTGTGACATTTTGTAATAAAACCTCATACATATCAGACTATGGTAATTAAATTAAAAATAATATCTATGTTGTTAGAAGTGAGAATTTGGCCCGGCCGATCTTTATGTTTTTCTGTTGGAATTTGTACTGCTTGTTTGAAGAGTTTACCCGGCACCTGGCAAGCACGACCCGTACCAAGGAAACTTTGGATGTTGACAGTCAAATCAGTTTCATCAGAGAATAATCTGTTGGAGTTTTATGCCTCAATTGTCCCACATCGGGAACACAAGTTCTCAGATAGGTGTGATTTTAATTAGTATATTAACTGATTTTAGTTTTGGATTAAGTTTTTATTTAATATTAAAAACGTTTTGATTAGGAGACAACTGTTGGAAAGACTTGCATTATTAAATGAGTAATGTTATTCATATTATATTTTATATTATATTTCTATATTATATTTCTATACCAGTTTAGGTGACATCTGATGTGGACAACCACATTATTTGAAAAATTTGCAAAATCCAAAAAAATGAAGGAGAATGACTTCTCGTATACTACAATCATCATTTAATTAACTAGTTTTTTTTTTTAATTATTAGTTTATTAAATAATGAACTAAATTTAAAAATCTAATTAATTCAAATAATGTGATGTTACTTAAGGTAGTATGAAAATGTGGTAAAAAACATATTACGAATAACATTTGAAAATGTATAAAATACCCTACACAACTGAAGTCTCATTTCAACGTATACGATTCAGTTCCCGAAGGACCATGTTTTGTCACAGAGGACATCAGAATTTAGTTATCTACCTTCGAATTTAGTTATTGTCACGTCGTTGATAGAACACGATCCTTTGGAAACGGACGGAACAGCAGCATCGCCGGATGAATTTTTTCTCAAGGAAAATGCAGGCTGCTGAGGAGATGGAGCAGATGCTTCGCCGCTCAACATAAAAACAACAGCTGACATGGATGGTCTGTTCTTCGACTCTTCTTCGACACACAAGAGCCCGACTTGAATGCATCTCATGCCTTCGTCGGGCGCGTATGACTCCAGTGACGAATCCACAATTTCTAAGGCTCTGTCTTCACTCCACAACTGCCAAACCTGTAGTTGACAGTTCATTTTAAACACGTAAGGGATGAGTAAAGAAAAAGGGTTGGTTGTTTGCACAATTTGTGTTACTCACATGTCCTATTAAGTTTACGAAGTGATCCTCTTGATGGAAACTGTTGTTTTTCTTGCCGCTTACAATCTCCAATAATATGACCCCAAAACTAAAAACATCCGATTTGGTTGAAAATCTCCCAAACACTACATACTTCCGGTGACATATAGCCACTGTATTATGTATATGAAGAAAATAACACGTTACAGCCAAAGAATAGTAAGAGATGAAAGAGCTAATGGAAGGTGAGTTTATAGCAATTCTTACTATGTTCCGACAACTCTGTTGGTCCTATCCTGGAGTTGGTCCCCATGGAAGATTCTTGCCATGCCGAAATCTGAGATTTTAGGGTTCATCTTAGCGTCCAGAAGGACATTGCTGGTTTTTAGATCCCTGTGAATAATCCTGAGTCTTGAGTCCTGGTGAAGATACAAAACCCCACGAGCAACCCCATTGATGATTTCGAATCGCTTTTGCCAATCAAGCAAGGACTTTTTTGTGTGATCTGCATCAAGATATTTGGCTTTTGCAGATAAATGTGACATATTTGACTAAGATATGCTTCATGGTTTGAGAAATGGCGTGAACAAATGAATCTTTCCTCTAGACATACCGAAAAGAAAGCAGTCCAAGCTTTTGTTCGGCAAGTATTCCAGGACTAACATCCTTTCTTCTCCCTTTATGCAACAGCCTAGAAGTTTCACGAGATTCCTGTGTTGAAGTCTCGCTATCAGCGCAACTTCATTTTTGAATTCTTCAACTCCTTGTTCTGAAGTTCTGGATAATCTTTTTACAGCAATATTCTGATTATTTCGTAACACACCCTGAAGTTTTTATTCAGTTTTATCATTAAGCTTCCACATAATGATCACTTATTTTATCAAGCCATTATGTTGTGATTATTCTTTAATCATGAAATTTGTTACTCTTCGAAAGTGGGACTAACCTTATAAACAGTGCCAAAACCACCTTGGCCAAGTTTTTGGACGGGAGAGAAGTTGTTCGTAGCTGCAATTATCGTTCTCAGATGGAAAAATTGCAATTCGGGATGTCTCCTAGTTTCTTCAGTCTCAACTGCTAACAATAAAAGAAATCATTGTCTGCATTTTCTTCTCACTGTTCTACTTTCATTGACAAACGATATAGAAATATAAGTTTTACATCGAGCTCGCGCATATGGATTCTATCTAATTGCAGTGCTTTGATGTGATTTGCAAACTGCACAAGCATTACAAGTGGAGTGCTTTTATTTGATGAAACTGTTCGAGAATTCAAAATCGCTGACTACTTCGTACCTTTTGTCTTCCTCTTTTTCTTAATCCTCCAACAGGCCAACAAAACGATCAGCACCAATGCTAGAAGAACAGACAACATCAGAATAGCCAGCATACCCCTCCTTTTAAGAAAACCTTTCGAGTTTTGGGAATTTTCAGCTACACATAAGAGTGGGATAAAGGATTAAACAATAACAAAACCAGTAGTACAGTAAGTTCCACAAATTCCAAAAATTTATAATGCAACTTTTCCATGGCAAGAAGTGGTACCTAATTCGATTTTGTCCACACGTACATGTAGATCTCGCCCTGCCTGTGTGTACACTAAAATGTCCAGCAACTCACCATACCATGTCAAGCAATCACTGCGCCCTTCAGATTCTATGACCATATATGCAGTGCAAGAACAATTGCTTAAGCACACCTGCTTACACTCTTTGACACTAATACCTTTTTCCAGCCGTGCTGCTTTCGTTGTGTCTGGATCTTTAACTTGTGGCACTTTCCTGAACCCTTCTCCGTTCCTACACTTTGATACCGCAACTCGTTTACTCACACACCCGTCCGAACCATTTCTCATATTCCAATCATTGACAGACTTCGGTTCATACCCTGGCAGACACACACACCCAAAAAAATTGATATTGTCAGGGTTACATTTGCTGTTGGCACCGCACTCTCCATACAGGTCACACTGATATTTTGGCGCAGACCATAGTTCCTTCCATTCTCTATCCGCATTGCTCCACCCGAGGATTTGCAGTGACCCAGAATCCTTCAACACCGACCTTATTGAAGTGCTATCGTTTTTAAGAAAGAAATACATTTCGTCCTGACTACTTACAAATTTACGCGGGTCCACTGGATCAGATCGCCAATACGGAGTCAAACCTTTATAAACAAAAAATTCGGGGGTCGCAGTGTGATTGGAATAGAGCCTTTCAGTGTATTCCCCAGTTCCAGGGTCATCTTGTGACTTCCAAGATGTTAAGACCCATTCTATCCCCAATTTCCAATTCACGCCTAGTTTCATACCCGGAAGGAGAGTATCTGTGGGATAATCAAAACTCTGCCACATAAATTTTTTGGTTTTATTATCCCGGTAAATAACTAAATTTCCAGAATCTAAAAGCTGAGCCCTGCAACTAAAGCTCGCAGTTTGAACCGTCACATTTGCAGACCACACAGGAATGTTCTGCATATTGTTAGAATAAAGAAGCAGTCTCCCATACCTGTCTATAATAAGGACACCGGAGGTATCATTGATGGGGTCGTTTCTGTTTGCTACCCAAACCACTACCTTTTGATCTTTTTGATCTTTTTGAACATACCAAATTCCGACGTACCTGGAGCTGGAGTTTCTGGGGCTGAAGAACCCTAATGCGAAGATGTTTTCTTTGGACACCAGAAGATCACCATCCTTTACATGTTGGTCCATTTCTATGGTTTCAATGGATGTGCAAAATGGGAAGAGGAGGGACACAACAAGCAAAGCTTTCAGTAACATTTTCTTGGCAGAAGCATGTATCAAACCCTTGCCACAATCACAGCTACAGCGAGGGCAATAGAGAATTAGACGATCAGAGGCCCAAGCCATCAGACTACCAAAGAATCCTACCCTCCTTATCTCAAAACGAACTTGACCGCACTTGTTTTTCTGTGTACATTAATGATAGTTTTGACAGCTGCCCTGCTTCTTTGAATTTTACCCAATATGTGCTACTTTTCGTCAATCGGTATTTGGAGGACGAAAGCCACATTTATTGTCAGCATCCTGTGATCCACTCAAGTCTTGTTGAATTGTCTTGGATGATGTGACACGCTTCGATTATGATATCTCTATATATTAAGGTAGGTATGTGCTGACCGACATTTGAGGATGATGAATAATATTTGGCTATTATAATAGCACTCCTCTATCTTAAATTTCCGTTTTTACTTTGTAAAAGACGGATGCTCTGAACATGTTATGTATTTTCCTAATTTTTAATAATTAGTAGTTGAACTTTAATTTTGTGTTATTAGTCCCTATTGCATGTTTTAGCTTATTTCTCAGCATTTGCTTAAATTAGTGGCTTTCGTCACTCTTTGGGTGTCGGCCAGCACGTGACCATCCCGATGTCCTAGGGACATCGGGATCGGGACGTGTCAAAAGTTATGAAAAACTAACGGTATGAGAGAAATCGAAAACTAAGTGAAAATTAAGAAGGAAATTTGACAGTTTACTTCAAAACCATGTATGATTAATTAATTAATGACTTGGAGAAATCATAATAATACCAGCATGTGGTACACAACCCATTTTGTTCTTTACTAAATTCTCGCTTTTTTTAATTTTTCCAGATCAAAAATTCGAATTCAGGACGTGCCGTGTTAAATACAGCTTGTTTTTACATCGTTGAAATTCTGAATTCAATCCAAATAAATTAGAAATTAGTCCTCTATCAATGGCCACTAAAGTCGTACTACAAAATTTGCAGAATCTAAAAGCTGAGCTACAGAAGTGCTTCTGGTTTGGACATGGACAGACACATTCGTGGACCAAATCGAAATGTTCCCAGCAGCAGAATTTCTACGACTCCGGAACTATCGTTGATGGGGAGAAATTTTTGGTTGTGGCGGGAATATAAGTGGTACATCATGTGTTTTAATAGGAGTGGTGAAAAATTTTATTTTTTAAGTTATTAATTTTTTAGCATACATATCCCACCATTTGCATAATAACACGTGATGTTGGACTGTGCAGATGGCAACTAAATTAAAAACAATATCTGTGTTGTTAGAAGTGAGACTTTGACCCGTCTCTTTTATAATTTGACAGAAGAATTGTCGCTTATGTTTTTTTTTTTGTTGGAATTTCTGCTGCTTGTTTGAAGAGTCTACCCTGCGCCTGGCAAGCACGACTCAAACCAAGGAGACTTTGGATGTTGACAGTCAAATCACTATCGTCAAAGAATAATCTGTTGGAGTTTAATGCCTCAATTGTCCCACATCGGGAACACAAGTTCTCCGATAGGTGTGATTTTAATTAGTATATTAACTGATTTTAGTTTCGGATTAACTTTTTAATTAATATTAAAAATGTTTTGATTAGGAGACAAACAGTTGGAAAGAGTTGTATTATTAGATACATCGAAGAGGTATTTGAAAATGTATGTAATAGGTTATACGAGAAAATATGTTCGCGCGTTGCTGCGGGAACTTATTGTTTCAGGTGTAATCGGATGAATAAAACACATTAAGTTGAATAAATTCAACACAATTATGAACAAATAGTTTTTTTTTTATGTACATTCAAGTGAGCTGGCATATAAACACATTGTACAATGAGTGGGAAGAAACTGAACTCTTTGATTAGAAAGAGATGGTTTCCAAAAAAGTTCTGTTTCCTTAAGAAACAGAAGAAACATTAGTTCACACAAAATTTCAGTTACCAAATCCAAAAAAAGACAAAAAAAAAAAAACAAAAATGTGACTCTATATGGCTTTCTTACTACACAAAAATATCCCTTAGTTAAAGCATGCCACACATCATCACATTGCTATTATATGAAGTATATTCCTCAGTGGCAAGTAATATACTCTCCTTATCATGACCTCTCAATCCCCTCTCCTTATCTCCCTAGAATCGTACAACAACCCATAAATACGGTGCCCCTTTAAAATCCAAGCATACATTAAAAATTCAACAATACAGTTACAAAATCTCTATAAATGAACATACCTCAAAAAGCCAACGGCCTAAGTGACACACTGCATACACATACGCTCACACACACTGAAGAATGAACGCATTATATTCAGTTAGCACCATTCAACTTTAAAAGCAGTGAGACCTTCCAAAGGCACATCCTAACTAGCCTTGGTTCAAATAACCAAATTGAGAACAGTTGAATTTTAGAAAAGCTGGAACCACAACTGAAAAACAAAATCAAAATGAACAGAATAAAATATCAGCAGAGCTTGAACACTAACATCCTTTGAAAACATGTGTTGGTTACATATAATATATATGCGCATAAATTAAGAAAATGACTTGAGTGCCCTAGCAGTAGGCTGTACGTTGAACCAAATCACTATTAGGTTAATTGTATTGATTCACGCATCTTTTATGTGCTAAATCTCTACTAAATTGCCCTACGAAAATGACATAAAACTAATTAAATTCCCAATATATCTGAGATATACAACTTTTAAAAGTGTGACAATATATGCAGCACCAGGATGTTGCAGAACTCACTGCCCCAATTTAAGATTCGGTTTTTATCCAATGTATCTATAAGCTTTAGATACATCTGAGAATTTGCTTTTCAAGAGTTGTTACTCTCATCGTCTTTTGAGAGAGATAGATAAAAAGGTTAAGATTACAATGGGGAAGAGTTAAGAATCCCTCTAAAATACTAAAGAAAAACATACCTACAATGGAGTAAACAACTGTTTGTCTCCATAGCAGTTTCTCAGAGCATTTATGCTGTCAGAAACATAGTGCTCCACTCCAGAAGGATGGACAAATTTACCAGATGGAGACTGACCCAAAGAAAACATAATTAAAAGTTATCATCTGACGAACAATTAAGGTGATGCAAAAGGGCAACATGTGATGTGAAATTATTATACCAAAATATCCAAGGTCCGTTAATCTAATCACCCAATAAAACAGAACTGAAATTAAGCACAACAATATCAAAATTAAAAGGAAGGAATAATATGAAACCTTGTGCATAGAACGTTCGTGAGAATGAATCACACAACAATCAAGGATGGACAAATCACAAAAGTGACAATTAAAGGGCACCTAACGGACACCCCCACCTCTTTCTGCAATCGCAGAAATCCCTTGGGTTTCAGGAAGCAAATGGAAAACGAAATGCCCCTTTACCTTCACAGAAAATCCTCTCATCTCTCTCTCACCCTTGTCCCATATCTCTGTCTGCAAATTGCAGAAAAGAAACCCTAAACAAATCCCTGAAATCCCTCGCCTAAATCCTCTCACATTTCTTTCCGACACCCCCTATCTATCTCTCTCTCTTTGCAAAACCTAAACCAGATCTCCTAAATCCTATCTCAGACACCCGACATACAGCCAATAAGCCAAGATATTAAAGCAATCTCTACATAATACTTTGGAACAAATTAAGCAGAGAAATCAGTTTATAATCCCTAAATACTGGAAAGAAGGAATCTTTGAAAGGGAAGCTTCCGGGTGGCATACAGAGATTTTTATTATAAGAAAAATGTAACCCTAATCCCATATTAAGCAGAGAAATCACTTCATAATCCCTAAATGCTGGAAAGAAGGAATTTTTGAAAGGGAAGCTCACCACTGCAATCATAAGGCGTGACCAGAGACGGCTTCGGAGGCTGCAAAAAAAGGCCCAAAGAACGAAAAACCAGGGTCTCCTGAAACTGAAAACATAACTAAATTAAACCACCACACGTAGAATCGCAGGCTACAAACTGGCATGGTTATGGTTCATCTGCTGCCACAATGACTTGGTTCATTTACTGCCACAATCGCAGTACCAGTTTCTATTGGTAGAATTATAGTAACAGTATATAGAAACAGAGAAATTATCTTTGCATCTTGCATATCAACAATCATAAAATGCATCAACCAATAAACTAAAAAATAAAAAACAAAAACAAAAAAAACGTATGCTTTCCATTCAACAGAAAAAGTCTGCATAAAGATAAATTGGAATGATAAACATACAAAATTTCACTTTTCACTTCATAGAATTTGTTTGAAATCACTAATTACCATTAGAACAACTTCATAATGAAAAAAGATTACACTAAAATTTTAGAAATTGTTGCTTACCTATCTTCAGAAGCATCTTTATGATTTCTAAACATTTTTCCAAAAAAAGTGGAAAGATGAATACAAACCTCCTCGGATGGACATGCTAATAGGATCATCCAGTTGGCCATCAAATACTTCCAAAGATAATGACAGAAGTGGTGTCTCCATTACATGCTTCTCCGAGAGCCCCCTGTGAGAAAAAAGAAAAGTAAAAATCAAAACTTGCCTCTGCCAAATAGGAAAACCCCTACAAACCACACAATCAGAAAAATTAAATACTTTTTTTCTAAAATTAGGAGAGGAAAATAGAATGAGAGTGGAAAATCCTAAAAAATAAGAAAGAAAAAAAACCAAAATTATAGATCTAGAGAAAAAACTTACCCAAAGTTTCACTCAACACAAACATAAGGGCCAATGCGAAGGTGAGCATAGAGCCCTGCCTTCTGCATGGTCTTGAGAAACCTCACCAGATTATACCTCCCTTTAAAATTGTACTAAAACCCAGCATAAACCCAGAAGGTGAAATTAACTACAAAACCAAATATACAAAAGTATTCGTTTCAGATCTAAATTCATACCCCTTTATACTGGCTCCAAGGTGGTTTTTGTCGTAGCCATGTCCAAGACAATGCACCCAAGACTCCATACATCTACAGCAAGGTTTGCACCAACTGAGTTCTGTATTACCTGGGCAAGGAACCGAAATGAAGACTTAAGTAAAAGTAAAACCATCAAGAAGCATGCCATGAAGGAGAAAAATACAGTAAAAAAAAAAAACACTCACCCTCACAAACTTATCCTGTGAAGCTCCATTTGATTGCTCTAATCTTCATTAAGAAGATTGGTACCTGTCTAGATACATTACAAACTTCATTTAATTAAAGAAAACAAAAGCCAAAAATGTAGAAATCCAACACAATTAACGTAAAGAGAAGCATATGAAATCATTAAAATAACATACTAATACTACAATGTGATCAAACAATGATTATTCGACATTAAAACTAAGCCAGAAACAAAAACCTTTGTGCATAAAGCACACATGTTGTCTTAACTGTACAAACACTATTAACAACCTAAACGATAATTAACTAACAATTTAGTTCCATCAATATGATAGACATACCAAACTGTCAACAGACTAACAAAAGTAAACATAAACCCTCCCTAGAAATAGCCCAATGGTAGGATTATGTAGTCCGACTATGCTGAACTAAATAAGAAAAAATTCAAGTGACCAAAGCTAATCTAGAGCTTTCTCCTTTCCCACAGCAAGAATCAGAACGTGCGTCGTCAATTTCAAGAAATTCACAGAAAGAGAGAAAGAAAGGGATAGAGTAGCACAAACCTCAGATCGAATGGCCTCGATCCTCTGGATTCCCTCATTATCGTAGCAGAAATCGACAAAAGCATATATACAATTTTTATCAGCCACTGGTTGGACCACATTTATTACCTGCCATAAACGGAGAAACAATTTGGTATAAGAATATGATAAGAATCTCATTCCACAAAACTTCTTCAGTCCGGGCCTAAACAACTGCAAGCAAAAAAATCTCCAAGATACATACTTTCATCCAGATCATCCACCGCCAATAACAAAACCACACCCTATATCTTCATTTAGCTAATAAGATTAAAAGAGTGAACTTATCACCCAAATAAAATAGGTAGATTAACGAATATGAGTTAAAAAGTGGAGGAAAGCAACAAAACCAATCAAACAACGAATTGTCAATAGAATAAAACAACAAATATAGATATCTGAATCAAAGTTTTTATTTTTTTTTATTTTTTTATTTTATTTTTTTATTTTTTTTATTTTTGTCAAATGAAGACTTAAATGTTACTCAACATTGTTTCTAATTGCAGCTTCCTCTCTACCTGTAAAAGCATGGTTGTCTTAGCCAAACATACATTTTGATCATGCAGAATCAAGATGGAGACATTATCTTCTGACAACAGAAATGGAAGTCAAAATATTATTGAATCATCAAATGTTGAAATTACCAATCAAATACGGATAAACCACCACCAGCAACCAAAACAGTTTTTTTTTTTAATGAAATTATACACCTCTCACCCAAGCAGCAACCAGTTCTTTTGCACTGAGCGTCTGTAAAACACATGAGTACGGATATATTATAGAGAGCAACAATCACTAAATTTCTAACATCACCGGCATTCACAACATTAAGCATGTAGGGAAACTATTTCATTTCATTTTAATTTTAGGTGACACAACTGATGCAAGAAAGGGTCGAGCAAGTTGCATGGCATCAAGAATAAAGGAAGATATTTAGGATGAAACAATTAAAAGTTTCTACAAATCATTAAATTTATGCTTACATAAAACATACATGCATACTTAATTTTTCAGACAATTATACTTCACAACATAAATTGCAAGTTGGGCATATTTGGTTGACTCAAAAGAAATTGATGGGTTAGAAAATGCACCCAAAAAAATAAAATATAAAGACGAATGTTCTTATGTCGTTCTCCTCTTACATCGACAAAACACACACCTGTGGTTTAATGCTCCAATATTCAATGAGAAGGCACTAGGCAAGAAGAAGCTCAAGGCTGGAAAGAAGCTTCCAAAGAGAACAATCTATAAAGCAGACCACAAAAATTAGACAAAACCCAAAAACTAAACAGTAAAAAAAACCCCTAAAATGAAAAGAAAAAAAAAAAAAACTGAATTTGCAGAAATGTCATAGCTTGTACCCTATCTTATCCAAGTTGTCGTACATCATCGAGCCTTTGCGTTAATATATGCTTCCTCAATTTTAGTGTAAACCCCCAAAATAAACTGCAAATATTATAGAAATGGTAAAATGAACTGCAAACCCGTCAATCATCTCCCAAAATAAACTACAAATCACAAAATTACCTACTCCAAATCGACTGGAGAACTCACCAGGAAACCAAGGCTTTTATGGGCTTAATACTTCCTTCGAAGTGGGACTAAATTCAAGGTTTTTCAGCAAGAGGTCGTTGTACTTCGTAGTTTCTGAGAGAGAATCGAAGAGATTTCTAACGGCTTGGTGGTTTTTAAGCTCGTTGGTGATTTCTGAGAGAGAAGGCGAGGAGAGAAAATGGAGATGGAAACAAAGTCGAGGCTATGTCGTAGCTGAATTGCTGGCTTCCACGATCATCAAGCATGACCGCACACGCACAACACCCTACCTAGAGAAGGGAGACCGCGGCGACTGGAGTATAGGATGGAGGCGAGACCGTGGTTCTCGCAGGGTCTGCGAGAATAGGTTTTTAAGCCAAAGGGTGAAAATAGGTTTTTAAGCCTGAGTGGCAATTTTGTAAATTATGTGAAAGGTGGTTAAAAGCATCCGAGTGGCAATCTTGTAAATAAACTGAAATGTGGTTCAAAACACTGTTCATTTGTACAGTGCAATTGAAAAGCCTTCTTTGTTCAAAACACTGTTCATTTGTACAGTGCAATTGAAAAGCCTTCTTTAGACTAAAGTAATAACTGAAGTCTCATTTAAACATATATGATTCAGTTCCCGAAAGACCACGTTTTATCACAGACGACAACAGAATTTAGTTATCGACCTCTGAATTTAGTTATTGTCACGTCGTTGATAGAACACGATCCTTTGGAAACGGACGGAACAGCAGCATCGCCAGATGAAATTTTTCTCAAGGCAAATGCAGGCTGCTGAGGAGATGGAGCAGATGCTTCCCCGCTCAACATAAAAACAACAGCTGACATGGATGGTCTGTTCTTCGACTCTTCTTCGACACACAAGAGCCCGACTTGAATGCATCTCATGGCTTCGTCGGGCGCGTATGACTCCAGTGACGAATCCACAATTTCTAAGGCTCTGTCTTCACTCCACAACTGCCAAACCTGTAGTTGACAGTTCATTTTAAACAGCATGGGATGAGTAAATAAAAAGGGTTGGTTGTTTGCACAATTTGTGTTACTCACATGTCCTATTAAGTTTACGAAATGATCCTCTTGATAGAAACTGCTGTTTTTCTTGCCGCTTACGATCTCCAATAATATGACCCCAAAACTAAAAACATCCGATTTGGTTGAAAATCTCCCAAACACTACATACTCCGGTGACATATAGCCACTGTATTATGCATATGAAGAAATTAAAACGTTACAGCCAAAGAATATTAAGAGATGAAAGAGCTAATGGAAGGTGAGTTTATAGCGATTCTTACTATGTTCCGACAACTCTGTTGGTCGAAAACTGGAGTTGGTCCCCATGGAAGATTCTTGCCATGCCAAAATCTGAGATTTTTGGGTTCATCTCAGCGTCTAGAAGGACATTGCTGGTTTTTAGATCCCTGTGAATAATCCTAAGTCTTGAGTCCTGGTGAAGATACAAAACCCCACGAGCAACCCCATTGATGATTTCGAATCGCTTTTGCCAATCCAGCAAGGACTTTTTTGTGTGATCTGCATCAAGATATTTGGCTTTAATTGTGCAGATAAATGCAACATATTCGATTAAGATATGCTTCATTGTTTGCGTGAACAAATGAATCTTTCCTCTATAGACATACCGAAAAGCAAGTAGTCCAAGCTTTTGTTCGGCAAGTATTCCAGTAACATCCTTTCTTCTCCCTTTATGCAACAGCCTAAAAGTTTCACGAGATTCCTGTGTTGAAGTCTCGCTATCAGCGCAACTTCATTTTTGAATTCTTCAACTCCTTGTCCTGAAGTTCTGGATAATCTTTTTACAGCAATATTCTGATTATTTCGTAATACACCCTGAAGTTTTTATTCAATTTTATCATTAAGCTTCCACATAATCATCACTTATTTTATCAAGCCATTATGTTGTGATTATTCTTTAATCATGAAATTTGTTACTCTTCAAAAGTGGGACTAACCTTATAAACAGTGCCAAAACCACCTTGGCCAAGTTTTTGGACGGGAGAGAAGTTGTTCGTAGCTGCATTTATCGTTCTCAGATGGAAAAATTGCAATTCGGGATGTCTCCTAGTTTCTTCAGTCTCAACTGCTAACAATAAAAGAAATCATTGTCTGCATTTTCTTCTCACTGTTCTACTTTCATTGACAAACGATATAGAAATATAAGTTTTACATCGAGCTCGCGCATATGGATTCTATCTAATTGCAGTGCTTTGATGTGATTTGCAAACTGCACAAGCATTACAAGTGGAGTGCTTTTATTTGATGAAACTGTTCGAGAATTCAAAATCGCTGACTACTTCGTACCTTTTGTCTTCCTCTTTTTCTTAATCCTCCAACAGGCCAACGAAACGATCAGTACCAATGCTAGAAGAACAGACAACATCAGAATAGCCAGCATACCTCTCCTTTTAAAAAAACCTTTCGAGTTTCTGGAATTTTCAGCTACACATGAGAGTGGGATAAAGGATTAAACAATAACAAAACCAGTAGTACAGTAAGTTCCACAAATTCCAAAAATTTATAATGCAACTTTTCCATGGCAAGAAGTGGTACCTAATTCGATTTTGTCCACGCGTACATGTAGATCTTGCCCTACCTCTGTGAGCACTACAATGTCCAGCAACTCACCATACCATGTCAAGCAATCACTGAGCCCTTCAGATTCTATGACCATATATGCAGTGCAAGAACAATTGCTTAAGCACACCTGCTCACACTCTTTGACACTAATACCTTTTTCCAGCCGTGCTGCTTTCGTTGTGTCTGGACCTTTAACTTGTGCCACCTTCATGAACCCTTCTCCGTTCCTACACTTTGATACCGCAACTCGTTTACTAACACACCCGTCCGAACCATCTCTCATCTTCCAATCATTGACAGACTTCGGTTCATACCCTGGCAGACACTCACACTTAAACAAATTGATATTGTCAGGGCTACATTTGCTGTTGGCACCGCACTCTCCATACTGGTCACACCGATATTTTGGCGCAGACCATAGTTCCTTCCATTCTCTATCCGCATTGTTCCACCTGAGGCTTTGCAATAACCCAGAATCCTTCAACACCCCCCTTATTGAAGTGCTATCGTTTTTAAGAAAGTAATACATTTCGTCCTGATTACTGACATAAGTGCCCACGCCCAATGGATGATATCGCCCCGGGTCCACTGGACCAGCTCGCCAAAGCGGAGTCAAATTTTTATAAAAAACAAAAACTTCGAGGGTGGCAGTCTGATTGGAATAGAGCCTTTCGGTGTATTCCCCAGTTCCAGGGTCATCTTGTGACTTCCAAGATGTTAAGACCCATTCTATCCCCAATTTCCAATTCACGCCTAGTTTCATACACGGAAGGAGAGTATCTGTGGGATAATCAAAACTCTGCCACATAAAATTTTTGCTTTTATTATCCCGGAAAAGAACTAAATTTCCAGAATCTAAAAGCTGAGCCCTGCAACTAAAGCTCGCAGTTTGAACCGTCACATTTGTAGACCACACAGTAATGTTCTGCATATTGTTAGAATAAAGAAGCAGTCTCCCATACCTGTCTATAGTAAGGGCACCAGAGGTATCATTGATGGGGTCGTTTCTGTTTGCTACCCAAACCACTGCCTTTTGATCTTTTTGAACATACCAAATTCCGACGTACCTGGAGCTGAAGTTTCTGGGGCTGAAGAACCCTAATGCGAAGATGTTTTCCTTGGACACCAGAAGATCACCATCCTTTACATGTTGGTCCATTTCTATGGTGTCAATGGATGTGCAAAATGGGAAGAGGAGGGACACAATAAGCAAAGCTTTCAATAACATTTTCTTGGCAGATGCATGTATCAAACCCTTGGCACAATCACAGCAACAGCGAGGGCAATAGAGAATTAGACGATCAGAGGCCCAAGCCATCGGACTACCAAAGAATCCTACCCTCCCTTGGCTCAAAACGAACTTAACACACTGGTTTTTCTGTGTACATTAATGAAAGTGTTGACAGCTCAACTGTTTCTTTGAATTTTACCAACATGTGGTATTTTTCGTCAATCGGTATTTAAAAGACGAAAACCACATTTCTAAAGTCAGTATTCTGGGATCCACTCAAGTCTTGTTGAATTGTCTTGGATGATGTCCAACTAACTCGGTGACAGTTCTTTAATTGCCTATTTTTACTTGCATTTTGATTAATGATTGAGAAGTGATTTCCCGCATTCATGTTTTCCCCTCTGCATCTCTCTATTTGTTCTAGCCTTATGACTAAATAAATGAAAGGAGAATCGATAGACAAATACAAGGAGAGGAGTCAGGAGGAGAAACTAGGAGTGTGAAAATCACTACCCTTACTATTCAAACTTAACAACTGCCAAAAATGGACCTTGTTCGCATTGATCTTAACCGTGACAAGCCATGCCAAGCACGCAAAACGTCGGCAAAATGCATGCCAACAACGATGTTTTGGTGTGCCACGATGATAGAGTTAGCGTGTCAAGACAAATAATGACATGCATCTTTTATTTGCACGTGTTCTTACCAGCAAGAACACGTTCAATATATGAGCTGAATATTTACACAGCTTCTTACCGGTAAGAACACATGCATTATCTGATCCTTTCGGAACGAGCTTCAAATAGCCTGCATCATTAACAACTAACGAGCTTTCAAATGCAGTTATTGTTAAGTCGTTAATAGAACCTGACCCTTTCGGAATTAATGGATCCGCATCATCATCGCCAGAACTTTTTCTGAAGACAAATGCAGGCTGTTTAGGAGATGGAGGAGATGTTTCACCACACTCAACAAAAAAAGGTTGACATGGTTGGTCGGTCCTTCAAATCTTCTTCCACGCATAAGAAGCCAACTTGAATGCGTTGCATTACTCATCCGACTGAAAGGACTCTACCGATGAATCCACAATTTTTAATGCTCTGTCTTCTCTCCAGAGCTACCAAACCTGCACACTACAAAAAACATGGGCACTGCACACAATAAATTATCTGTGCCATTTGAGGCCAAAGAGCACCAACAACTGTGCCCATAGACCAATAGCAACAGTGCAGCAACTATATTTCTATTTGTGTCCTCTATAGGCGTTGCCTTAGATCAAAGAGCACAATAAGGTATGCTGTGCTGAAAAGTGTACACACAAATAAAGGTCCTTTTGTGCACAGTTCTGACAAAGTTGTCAGATGACTGCTGCCGCCCATGTTAACACATTTATTGTTATTGTGCCCAATACGCCAACTATTTTTTAAAAAAAAATTAAAAACTGAAATCATCCACAAATTGAGATTGGGGCTAAACAAAAAATTATTTTTTCATAAATTAAAAACAGCCCACAACCACAAGCATCTATAATATTACAATTTACAAAGATATTCACAACCATTATATATGAAGGGGGCCTTTAGTGAAAAGCTCCCGGTACTGTTCACTTGAACGAAAAACCACATTTTACACTAAAAAGTCAATTATAGTATTATTCACTTTACCATTTATTTTGTCCTTATCGTTAAAACTCAAAGTTTTCAAGTCCTTTTCATTAGTTTTCTTTATATAAAAACAACTAGAAGTTTACATGTTCTATCCCCAACTCATGATTCGATCATTTCACCCCACACACTAAACTTCTCGAAGTGAAAATAGCGAGCAGAATTTGTTGTCCTGACTGATGTACATGTGCAACAACATACCTGCAGAATAAAAGGTATACACTCGAGACTATTACCAACTTAGTTATGATCATACTAACAAAACGAACTGTGCATTAGCGTTTTCTTCAATTCACATATCCATGAAACCATACCCCTCTGTATTCCCGAATCCTCAAAAATCTGCTCTGAGAATATGAGAGGTTGATTGAACTAAAACCTGAACTACCCATCTCTCTACCACCATAACCCATACGCCAAATTACATTGCACAAACAAATGATGCATGAAATCCCTTTCGTTTTAGTTACTAACATACTTCAGCAGAGAGAAAAACAGAAGCAGATACAATTAATTCATTGTGTGTGAAATAAATAAAAGTAATAAAAACATTTCGGGTAAGGCTTTAGCCAATTTTATGAAAATTGGAAAAGTGCCAACGAGCTAACATTCAAAATCGTTACTGTTTGTTACCAATCAGTAAGTATGAATTCATTCTAATGCTTATGCTTTAACTTTTCAAGGAAGGCCCACTTGATGTATTAGACAATAGTGACGGAGTCAAAGGCCAGCACCAAATGTGTGATCAGATATTCAGTAGTTTAAACTCTTGGGGAAAGTACCTGTACAAAATATAGGCCAGAATGATGGACCTTTCAGATTCCCTGGAGCACCTTTCGAGGATCGAGTTGCCCGCTGCAGTAACTGGAAGGAACAGCTGAAAGCTCCTGCCTTCCTCTCCACTCCTCTCCAGGTTTCAATGTTACAGGTTTCTTAATAGCAGCAGCCTCCACACACAGCATATGCTTGTATTCATCATGTCCAAGGTCAGTCAAAGCCTTCGCCTTCTTATCCCAGGGATTCCATACAACTGAATGGGAAAAACAGAAAACTAATCACTACAGTACAAAATACAATTCCAACGAACACTATGAGGGCAGGTATTTGACATTATAATTCTTCAATATCAACTTGTAAATTAATCAAATCGGAGAATAATATTTTAAAAGCACGAAGAAAGAACAAGAGTTCTCTCCACTAATCCTAGTTATCTCATGAGTCATATGATGCAGCAATTCGATCCATTGTGTTGTTAGTTATGTTAAGCCACAATACGCATCAGTCAGGACTCTGGAAATTTTAAAAATAAAGAAAATAAATTCAGGCAGCAATAACTTCATTATGAAATATTGAACATGTTAATTCTAACCAGCATCTGGAAGACCATCTTTGCGTATTACAAATGTTCTCTTCTTCTCATGATCCAGGATGGCAATCTTTGTAAGAGTGCTGAGATATATCTTCTCCACCTAATTATTATTAGGAAAATAAAGTGAACAGAAATGAACAAAATTAATAAATGAAACAAATTAAGAATGAATAGCAACTTAAGCTTATCTCTGACTCAAATGTTAAAGCATCACCTTGTTCAGTGCAACATTTCCTGTTCTGCGTGCTCTCAAGATAATCCAATGTTTCCAATCCTTCTACACGAACTTCGCTGAACACAGGCACAATGAAAAATTCAAAATTTCAGTACCATCCAGAGCTGTCGCTTTCTTTCTACCGTATGTTACATGATATGGCATTAAAATTAAGGACAAACACAATGATGCTGTAAACCCTGGTGGTATAATAATGACTGATGCAAAAGGCAGAGACAAAGGTTTTACATTTTTTTGAGAAGAACAAAGGTTTTACATTTCCAACTGCCATATTGCACAAATTCGCAAATACTAAGATCTGATTAACGTTGAATTTTTAAGTGATCCTTCATTGAAGGATCTACCAATAATCTTATCATTTTAACATTTCGGATTGAGATTTATTGTCATCAATTAAAAGTGATTTAGTTTTACCCATGTTACGAGCTTGGTGGATTTTTGTCAGTGGCCTTTACTTTATCTTCGAAGTTTTTTCGCACGGAGGCGACCTAGTACATAACTTTAAGTAATTAACCATTTAGTAAAAAAAATGCAGCATAGACAGCCTTAGATGAGATGTTTAAGCCTGTTATACTCTGGTGATTACCGAAGCAAAGGAAAAACAGTTCCCAAGGGGTAACAATTTCCAACCCCTACAAAATCGATATCCACCCTGTGCTAGTATGCTTGCATACGAGAGAAACAATCGGCTTCATCACCAGCTCGGGCCTCATCACCCATCGACGCCACTGCTACTCCTCTCTTCGCCGTCCCGTACGCCACTCTCATACCTGCAAAACACACAAAACCCGAACAAAATCATATGTTTCTAAGATCTGATTGGCTATGAATTTGTAGAAACTAACTTGAGGATCGGAAAGAGGATGGGAAGAGGATTATCGAGGTATAATTTGACGGTCTTTGACTCTTTGGTGACAAGTGGAAGGCGGCGCTGTTGCCTGAAAGAGAAGGAGGGAGAAAGGATACGAGAAGGAGAGTGAAGGGGAAGGAAGAGGGAGGAAGAAGGGGAGAGAGAAGATAAAGGCTGGTCTGGTATTGTTGTGGTTTGAAAAAAAAAATTGTTTTTACTATGTTGTAAGAATAAGTTCATTTTTGCTACTTTACGTTTTTAGCTTTTTTTTCATCTAAAATTGTAAAAATAAGTTATTTTTAAGTGTTTACCAAATATCTTTTTAGATCAATTTTTTTTTTTTTTTTTGTACCTATCCAAACTAATACTAATAACCTTTTTTTTATCTTCAAGTTTATCATTATTTTTTTTTTTTGTTATTTTGCACAAAAGGCACAATACTTTTAAAACGTGCCCCCCCGTCTGAAATCTAAAAGGTATATAGTGCAAATAATTCAAAATGTACATTTGATTTAAATATATACCAAATATTAGGGCAAAAAATTTAATACTAAACGTTTGGGCCGAAAAAATAACTTTTATTTAAATATATTTAATCATAGGACACAAAACCACGCACGTTACCATGAGGTTAGAGTTGTGCAGCCCATGATTTGTGACACTTGGGTGTGTGGCTCTTGTCGGACTGTCCTCACTTAAAATCACTTTTGAAATTTGGAGTGGGAGATTCATGATGTCCTCAGTTAAAATCACTTTTGAAACTTGGGGTGAGTGATTCATGATGCTTTTCAATTGAACCAACATTTGACTTTGGGTTTCTTGGCTTGTCATTGAACAATTAATTAGAGAATATTTTGGGCCTCTTTAATTCTAGAAAAAATTGCAGGGGAAAGTTCGGAGATAGAAGAGAGGTTTGTAACAATGCTGACCTTTGAGAAACATACATGTTATTGGTAGCCTTTGTAAAGGCACAAAGTCATTTTGTGTCACACATAATATATTTAATTAATAAAAGTTTCATTATTATAAATATGGACACATGCAATTGTGCTTATAAATCCTATTTATAGCACAAAAAGTCTTTCGTGCCTGTTCCTGTGCCCAATAATGTGTTTGTGTCCATTTTCTTTTACATTGGGCACAATATATGGTGCGCTTTATTGAATGTGCACTTTTCCCCTTTATTCTTGTTCAAAGACACACAAGCTCCTAATTTGTGTCCTTAATTTTGTACCCAAAGCCCATTTTTCTTGTAGTGGCAGTTTAACAGTGTCATTTTAAAGAGGGGAGGGATTAGTAGAAAGGGTAGATTTTTAGCAGAACTTGTGTTACTTACATGTCCTATCAAGTTTATGGAATGATCACTCTGATAAACACCGTTGTTTTTCTTGCCACTTACAATCTCAAATAATATGATCCCCAAACTAAAGACATCTGATTTCGTTGAAAATCTCCCAAACATTGCGTACTCTGTGACATATCCACATGTCAAAGCTCAAAAATAGTATAAGGGATGTGAAAAGTGAATATATGTTGATTTATTTCATCAATGTGCGAATGCTAGTATGTTTCCTACTATGTTCCAACATCTCTGTTGGTCTTATGCTGCAGTTGATCCCCATTGAAAATTCTTGCCATACCGAAATCTGAAATTTTTGGGTTCATCTTAGCATCTAGAATAATATTGCTGGTTTTAGATCCCTGATCTCTATGAATAATTCTAAGTCTTGAGTCCTGATGAAGATACAGAATTCCACAAGCAACTCCGTTGATGATTCCAAAGTGTTTTTTCCAATCCAACAAGGACCTTTTTCTGTGATCTGCATCGACAGGTTTGGTTTTTGTGTAATCATAAACTTCAAATATATGCTTCGTACTTTTAGACATACCAAAAAGAAATGAGTCCAAGCTCTTGTTCGGCAAGTGTTCGAGGCTAACACCCTTTTTTCCCCCGTTATCCAACTGCCTAAAATTTTGGTTCATATCCTGGTAGGCAGTCACACGCAAACATATTAATATTGTCACGGCTACATCTGCTGTTAGCACCACACTGTCCATACTTGTCACACGGGTTTTATGGCGGCGCCCAGACTTCCTTCCATTCATCACCATCATTCCATCTCATTTGTTGATATAAACCGTAATCCCTCAACACAGTTCTTATTACTGATGTGTTGTCAGTCAGTTACAAGGATATAACACTTCTCTTCGCTATTGCTCACATAATTAGGCCATGCCCCGGGATCAGATCTCCAATGCTTAGTTAAACCTTGTACAAACATACTGTCGAATGGCGGTCTGGTTTGACGAAAGCCGAAAACTGTAGTCCCCATTTGAAGGGTAATCTTCTGATTTCCAAGATGTTAAGATCCATTCCAACCTTTTTTTCCAATTCAATCCAACTTTCATTCCTGGAAGTAAAGTGTCAGTTGGAGAAATTTTTTATTGTGACGGAAACACGGATGGTACATGTTTTTATGTAAGTGGTGGGAAATTTAATTTTTTAAGTTATTAACTTTTTAACACACATATCTCTTCATTTATATGGTAGCACGTGATATATTATCTTGTGTGCCGGTCACACTGAAAAATCTCTCCAAAAGCTGAGCCACAGAAGTGCTTCTGGTTTGAACGGACGAAATAGAAATGTCCTGAAGAGCATAAAGAACTAAAGAAAGTTGATTGCAACCAGACTGTCTTTATTTTTCCCAATACAAGCTATATTGAGGAAGAGGAAATTGAACTCGAAACTTCGAGTGCATGGATGGATGTTCTCGATCAATGGAGCTATAAACCTCTTGCATTTGGCTGACTTTTCAAAGTGGATACTAGTCTTCTATACTACATAATTACAAGAGATTTTTCAGTATGCTCGAAATATGGGACAGAACACCGAATGTCATAATACAATTAAAGAGACATTGAAAGAAGAAGAAGAAGAAGAAAGAAAAAAAAAATAAAAAATAAAAACTATCCACGAGGCTTGGGATACACAACCAATTTTGTCTACTAAATTCTCCCATTTTTACTCCGTTGAAATTATGAATTCAATCCAAATAAGAAATTAGTCCTCTATTAATGGCCACTAAAGTCTTACTCAGATGATTAAAATTGTATTGCTACTGAATTAATTAAAGAGAACTTTAACGAAAAGTTTCTGGTACTATTGATTTTAACGAAAAAATCACATTTTTAAACTAAAAAGTCAATCATGGTACTATTCACTTTACCATTTATTTTGTCCTTATTGTTAAAACTCAAAGTTTTCAAACCATTTTCATTAGTTTTCCTTTAATTAAATCCTAATTTGATGTAAACCCTCGGACTTTAGACTAATCTATGGACTTCAAACTTCAAACTTGATGGACTGTGTTGTCATCTTGTGCAAAATGTATATGTAAAGATGCCTGAACAAGTTAAAAGCTCAACAATTTTGACTACTATTCCATCCAAAACTCAAGAAATATTACATTATCTTCAAAAAATTGCAAAAGTTCATTGTATTCTACAGAGAAACCCAAGACAATTAAATGTGTCTGCTCAGTTACATTCAAATTCACTTCATCGTATCCTACAACGATTGAGAATATTGTATTATAAAACAAAATATGGCTCTCTTAATAAGTTATTTTTGCATACGTATCAAATTGCAATTTGAACGAACCTTGACGCATCGAAAATGTTGTTCCTTGTGGTCAGAAGGTTGCGGGGTTCAAGTCATGAAAACAGCCTCTTTACAAAGCTAAGATAAAGTTATGTGCAATAAACATTATCTCCAATCCTCGCAAAGCGAGAAAAGGTTGCCCTTTTTATATCAATTTGCAATTTCAAAGTAAATACGAAACTTACGAAAAATGAGCTAAGAGTGTTGATTTATAATATAATTAAATAAATTAATCAAACTTTGGGTGCCATCCTATTCCTATCAGCAGTGACTGAAAGCCATTAAAACAAATATTTAAGCCATAATATTTCTTTTAATATGACTGGTTGGACTTTGACAAGCCTCCTAATTATTAGGAAATTTAGACTTTGGGACACGTTTTACATGAGATTTGATTTGTATACATTGATTACATAAATACTTTTATGCATACTGCTTTCCCTCGATCTATACCATACTTTATTCTCGTCAGACGATTGCTAGCAGTCAGCCCGGTGCTACATCATAAGCACGTTGGGTATGTAGATCATTGTAACCGTATACATATATGGGGTACGTAGGCGGTTGAGAAGTCACTGAATCGGAGATAGAAGATGGCGAAAAGGACTCAGCGGTGTGAGAAGACGGTAGCTATGAAGAAAGGTCCATGGAGTCCTGAGGAGGATCAAAAGTTGGTAGTTTACATTCAGAGATATGGAATTTGGAATTGGAGTCAGATGCCTGAACCAGCTGGTAGAAAGCAAATTTGAAGTTTCTTTTTCTTTCTAGTCTATATTACGCTTATTTGAGCAAAATTTTCATTGATCATTTGGGTACTCAGCTCGTTTGGGATTGATTTTGGAAGGGTACAAAGCGCTTTCAGACAATCACAAGCGTTTTTAACGAATGACCCTTCTTCTTCTGCATTTGCTTTAGGTCTGGCTAGGTCTGGGAAGAGTTGTAGACTTCGTTGGGTGAATTACTTAAGGCCGGATATTAAGCGTGGGAACTTCAGCAAAGACGAAGAGGAAACCATACTCGAGTTGCACCAAGCAATAGGAAACCGGTAAGGACTTAAATCTAACCAACATGAAGGAAAACATAATGGTTACCAAACGGACCTTAAGCATAAATTCATAGTTTAAAAAGGACTAGAAATCAATGTTGTAATCAACTTCTGCAGCTTCATAATAAACTGACAAGTTTCCTAAAAGATTTTCTGTTTCGTTCTCTTTGTAGATGGTCTGCTATTGCAGCAAGACTTCCTGGAAGAACAGATAATGAGATTAAGAATCACTGGAAAACCCACATGAAGAAACGCTTCAAGGCGGCAATTGAATCACTACACGAAGAAGCAAAAGGATTCGGCGACAAAGAAGCCAGCAAGAACAAGTTATCTGAAACCGAACAGCTGTTTCTTGTTGATGAAGATACAAGGGCATCATCATCAAAGATGGAGACAACTTCTTCAACTTCAGCTCCATCAAGATTATTCTGTCCCGTTTGGGAATTCGATGATCGAAAAGGCCAGATTGCAGAGCAAAGCATTTGTGCATCTGGTGTCACATTTGGTGACCTTCAAAGTTTGGATTCTCAGGTGTGGCAGCAAGAGCCTATATTTCCATGTGATTCCTACATTAATCATGCCACCAGTGATTACTGGGTCAGTTTAATCAATAAAACAGGATGAATTAGATTAATTAGGAGTGTTTAAACTTTGAATTAATGGGAATTGTAATGTCTTTGGCATTTGGATACTTCTGTATTACTGTCAACTGTTTTTTCTTCTGCTCTGTATATATGCATGAATAAAAGATAAATCATCAAGTTCGAATCCCTCTTTCCCTAGTTTAAATTAGATTAATTAGAATATTGCTTAAGAACAAGATACATTACAAACTTCAGTTTGTGTTAATGTAGCCCAGCAAGCAACAGGACAAAAAAAAAGAGCAAAAATAATTAGAATTTGCTTTCATTGAGAGTTGAACTCAAGACCTCCCGCTTACTAAACGGGTGCTCTAACCAACTGAGTTATGAAAGCATTGTTAGTTCTTGGCTCGCGAGTTAGATATTTGAAACAAAGCAAGTCGTCAAATATAACCACTCCCTTCTTTGAAGCAGAAGATTTCACTGTATGTTAAATCCCTTAAAGATTACGGGTCATGTGACACTCTACTGTCGGATCACTTGCTCTTCAACCTTCCTTCCAGTCTATGCCATCTGCGTCCTCCTCCGCTGTAGCATCGGCTTCGACATCACCTGTGTAGATAATTATGTATGAAGAACACAAGGTCTCTGATACACCATCTGGAGCTGCTGCAGTACTGCGACTGCCATCCATCTTCACCCCCATGTTTTGAAGGACGTCATCTCGAGAAGCGAGCTTGTCAATCTCAGGCAAAGTACCCCATCACACCTTTCACAGTGGAAGTAGCCATATTCCAATTTATCTTTCAGTCTCAAACAATCTATATTTGACATGACCACTATGAGAAACTAGATTATGCACAAGGATCACTTAGTTACAAATAAATAAGCCGCATTGTTACTATACTGATTGGACACACACTTCAGAGTTCAGACCAGAAACGATGAAAAATGAAAATAAAAAAAAATATTTTGCTTTCATTGAGAGTTGAACTCAAGACCTCCCGCTTACTAAACGGGTGCTCTAACCAACTGAGCTATGAAAGCTTTGTTGATGCATTGCTGTTCGTCCACTATTTGTGGTACAATTCTGGGCTGGTCAGACCAGTTGGCTTGAACACTAACAACAACAATCTTCCAAAAATGTCTGCAAATCCGACGAAAACATGACCTTTCTCTTATCTGGGATCATCACTGGAATCCCACCATTCCCAAAAAATCGAATTGCATTTTTCAATACAAAGCAAGCTATTTTACTAAAAGCAAAAAGCCTGGCTTTCAAGGATTTTGCTGGTTCTCTATACCAACAACAGGCAACAGTTTTCGTTCCTTGTGTTTTCCGACGTTTCCTGCAAATGGGACCCCGAAAGGAAGAACCTTTTTGCACAGTAATGGCGGATGTGAGATGGGTTCATGTACCCACCTCCTTTCCATTAGAGGAATCAGCAGAGAGAGAGAAAGATTGTGTTTGGATGCAGACACAACTGCAGAATGTTTTCGCTGTGGCAATGGCATCCAATTCTCAAAGGGTTTGAAGCAAGGCGGATTACTTTCAATGAATTGTCATTATTTATTTTCAAAAGAAAAAAAGAGAAAGCAAGGCAGTGAAAGTGTTAAATTACAGAATATAATCCTTCCTTCTTTTGTTGGAGTTCTTGCTATTATTCCTTTCTTGCGGGATTTCTCTCTATTCAATTCCTGTTTTCTTATTCTTTCCTTTCTAACAAGTCTGGATTTTGTAGTTAATCTTAATTAATTTCTATTTTCTTAAGGTTTGACATTAGTAATTAATTGCAGATTAGTCAGTTAATAGCCAAAGGTTATGTATTTAGGTGACAATTACCCTTGAAATCTTCCACCAGAAAAAACTTGATTCTGATTTTTTAATTTTACTTTGACAGCTCTACTGGGCTACCACATTGCTTCCCCAGCTTGTTTTGAGTGTTTCTTTTCTCCTGCTGGGCTGCTACTGCTAGTATTATTTAAGGCTTCAATGTAGTGAGTATCAAGCAAGACACTTCAGTTGATTCCTAGTAGTTAGCATGGCTGAGAAGTGAGTAGTATCATATCAGTAGTAGTAGACCAACAGGAAAACAAAGCAGACCTTCCGCTTCGAGTCCACGGAAAATCCTCCAGGTTTTTCTCTATTCTTGTTTATCTTCAATTTCGGCTTGTTGTTTGTGTTGGTTCACCTGCTGTTAATTTGAATTTTGCTGTCTTTGTTGCCAAATCGCAGTATTGTTGGGTGTAGTTAATGACAACTTGAACACATTACATATTAGGCTGATATACTTTCTACTGCAAACACCTTGTCATGCATGTTGGTCTCTTACTGTATAATGTGGCACGTGAGGGGTTATGTCTTGGTTTGGCCTGCTCATTGATAACTTGATTGTTTTTAGATAATAGTAGTCCTATCAAAACTAAGGAACTGGAACATAGGCTGCCTGCTACCACACCAAAATAGCTGAAATTAATATCCATAACTGAAAATCTTATATAAGCTTGTGTATGAATGCATTTCAGTTCCATTTTTGCTTGTTATAACTTATAATTGGAGGAGTTGCTAAGTGTCCGAAACACCCCCATGTACATATTCTTTTTCAGATCACCCCTGTTTTCGGATGTGTCAAAGATTTTCTTCACTAAGATTGACCTTATTTCTTATGGTCATAGTTGATGGATTATTGCGTGAGATGTAATATTTGTTTGATGAGTCAATGTCTATATAGTAATATATGAGGTGGACAATTTCATATTTTTCCTTGTGCTTAATTAATTTTGCAGAAGCTTTGAAATTGCTCATTTTCAGTGGCCTGCAAAAAAAAGGGAGCAAGTTGAAGAAAGCTAGCTGGGATATGACTTCCTCCATCAATCCTATTCCTATCTCTGTCAGGAAGCTATGGGAAGGGTGGAATCTACGGGGCTTTATCATCTTAAGCCTAACATTGCAGACCATGTTAATTCTTTGTGCACCCTTCAGAAAGCGAACACCCAACTTGTTTTTAATCTTCCTGGTCTGGTCATCTTACTTGCTCGCTGACTGGGCTGCTAGCTTTGCAGTCGGGTTAATCTCAAACAGCCAAGGTGACGCTAAAGGTTCAGGAGATAACAACGAGGATCTCTTGGCATTTTGGGCTCCATTTCTTCTGTTACACCTTGGAGGTCCGGACACCATTACTGCATTTGCTCTTGAAGATAACACGCTGTGGCTAAGGCATTTTCTTGGCCTTGTATTCCAAGTTATAGCTGCAGTGTATGTCTTCATTCAATCGTTTCCCACCAACAAGCTCTGGCCCCCTACACTCCTCCTGTTTCTTGCAGGAACCATTAAGTATGCTGAGCGCACACGTGCTTTGTATTGTGCAAGCTTGGATAATTTCAAGGAATCCTTGATTAAAAAGCCTGATCCTGGACCAAATTATGCAAAGCTAATGGAGGAGTACTCTTCAAAAAAAGATGCCAAACTTCCAACTCGTATAGAACTCACAGCAGAACGAAGCAAAGAATCCAGGACGGTAACATATGTTGCAGAAGAAGGTGATATGCGGGATAATTTTGCAGTGGTGCGCCATGCTTATCACTTCTATGAAATCTTCAGGGGTCTTATTGTGGATCTCATTTTTAGTTTCCATGAAGGCTTCGAGAGTCGTGCATTTTTCCATGACAGATCCGCAGAAGAAACTTTTAGATTGATTGCAATTGAGCTCAACTTTATGTATGAAGCTCTCTTCACCAAGGCTGTTGTGGTGCATTCTAAGCTAGGATGCCTTTTCCGGGCTATATCCTTCACTGCGGTTTTCATAGCCCTTGTTTTCTTCTATAAACTAGAGAAAAAGGCTTTCCACAAGGTCGATGTTGGAATCACCTATACCCTGCTTTATGGTGCCCTATGCCTGGATTCAATAGCCATTTTCTTGGTTATTTTCTCTGAGTGGACTGTCACTGCTATGCACAAGTCTTGGCAAAAATCTTGGGTTGCCAAGATACTTGGAAAGTACCTCAGTTTGAAGAAACCAAGGCGGTCTACAGAGTCAACAACTTGCTTGGAGTGGTGTAGACAAATTCTATTTCGAAGGTGGTGCGAATCCATCTCTTCATTCAACTTCATTCACTACTCCCTCAAGGAGCATCGGAAACTGTCCTCTAACATTTTTGACTACTTTGGCATTGGTTACATTGCAATCATCGACCTCTTTGGCCTCAAGGATCTTCGAGATAAGATGAAATATCGGACAAGTAGGCCACTGACTGAAGGGTTATGGGAATTCATTTTTAAAGAGTTGAAAGCTAAATCTGTGCTCGCGGATGATCCCGAAACTGCCAAGAGAATATCTACAGCCAGAGGTGATTGGATTCTCCAGGATAGCGAGTGGAATGACACCCAACATGCTACCTTGCTGTCTTACGTGGTTGATGTTGATTATGACCAGAGCATCCTACTGTGGCACATTGCCACTGAATTATGCTATAACTGTGAGGAGAAAGAAACTTCTCACTCCGAATCCAGTAAGAATGAAACTTCTCGCCATGAATCCAGTAAGAATGAAACTTCTCGCCACGAATCCAGTAAGAATGAAACTTCTCGCCGCGAATCCAGTAAGAATGAACCTTCTCGCCGTGAAATCAGTAAGACCCTGTCGGATTATATGTTGTATCTCTTAGTTATGCAGCCTAGTTTGACGTCTTCTGTAGCAGGAATCGGACAAATAAGATTCCGGGACACGTGCGCAGAAGCAAAGAAATTCTTTAGCAGAAGGGAGCTGAGGAAAGGAGGGGAACAGTTTGAAGAGCTAGTTGCCTGCAAGAGTATGTTGGAGGTAAACACAGATGTTAAACCTGCTGATGTCAAAGGGGATAGAAGTAAATCAGTGTTGTTTGATGCGTGTATTTTAGCGAAGGGGTTGATTAAGATGGAGGATAAGAAATGGGATCTGATGAGTCGAGTATGGGTGGAATTGCTCTCGTATGCCGCATGTCATTGCAGAGCGAAGGATCATGCGCAATTGCTGAGTAAAGGAGGAGAGCTTGTCACTTTTGTTTGGTTACTCATGGCTCATTTCGGCATAGGGGAGCAGTTCCAGATAAACGAGGGTCATGCTAGAGCAAAACTCATTGTCGGAAAGTAAACCGGATGAATTGAATAAACCTGGTAGAATTTCGGCACGAGACATCTGTTTGTTATTGTATCCTTGTTTCGTTTGTTGCAGCTGCTAGCTAGAGTATGATTCCATAACCAAATTATATGCTTATGTCTCAAAAGTGTAGTTTTATTGCATCGAGTCTGAATAGCTCATTCTGTAACTAGATACTCTTACTCTTACTTTGTAAGATATCAAAATAGTTAAATAAAGGAGAACTCTAACTCGCCACAACTTATATCCAAACAAGCGTTGAGCCTATCAATCTCAGCCCAAAATATCTAACAAGATCAGCTGGTCAGAATAATTTGCTCAACTCTTTGCAACTAAGTTTGAAATCTCCTTCATTTAAATCTAGAATGGTTTAGAATATCGCTTAATCAAATGCATAAGAAGTCGTCGTTGTACATTTAGCCGCGTTGTTAATCAAAGAAAAAACAACAACATAAGAAGCCATTCTATGTTCATTCAACCCTCTTCAATTCCCAACCACATTGATGGGGAAGTTAATATGTTTGATTTGAATATTGAGTGCCAACGGTTGTATGATTGTGCCTGTTTTGTTAAATTGTATGGGATTCACAAGCGGACTCTCTCTCTGTCCTACATGCCAAGCCTCATAGCTACTTTCCTATGTCGCTGTTTGAGCACAGACGATATATGGGCCAATGGCAATCAAATCGGACAAAGACGATACATAAATACTCCCAATCCGGTGCTTTTTTACGCACAACCTTATTTATTATTATTAAATAAGTTTAAATTTTGAAATTTGGAACGATAATAAATAGAGTGTTGAACTTCATCATTACTTGGAGAGATTTTTAGTATGTCGAGAACGGAGCTCGGTTCACCAAGTGTGATTAACATCGAGTCGATGAGAGATTTTTTAGTGACACTAATTATATATAATTATGTGTTTATCTCTCTAATTATGTAACTAGTCCATAAAGATTATACAACTAACAACTAAGGATAGAACGGTTTTTCTCAAACTATATTTTTCTTGTGCGTCTAATCGGAAGATAGCTCAGGGCAATGATTACATTCGAGGCATAGAGACAACCAAACAAATCAGCACTGTTGAACATGATGAGAAAGCTTGAACATATTTTCACTGCAAAAAGTACCATTTAATCTACGCCTTTTGCTGTGTCTCTTCTCTGCTGCCATAGAAACAGAAGTATATGTCGTGGTGCTGGTGCTGGTGGCGGCGGTGCTGATGGTCTTCTCGCCTTCCGATCTAGTGAGGCGCCTTTCCAGAACGCTCACTGGGGTTCTTGTGCAGGACATAGTATCCAACCTTTCACTCTTTACCATTTCTTGCATAAAATTGAAGCATTTGAGCAAACTCTCCTGAAACAAAAATATAGTTAAAAGCTTAAAATACTAATTAATCGTATCTTTTTTTAATTAAATTGGAAATCTGTACCGTTGATATTGTGCTTACTTTATTTACATTTTGGAAAGATGATAGGGAAACTTTTAAAAAAGGGAACTTCAATGGGAGCAGTTCATGGCATGCAGATAGGACAGCTGATGCTGCAATTATTGATGGCTTAAACCCCACAAATTTAATTTCTGCAATCAAATTCAAAACAAAAAAAGGGTCATGAGTTATAATTAATATTCACGCATCAGTTTGGGCTAATAATTTTCACAATTCCTTTTTTTTTTTTAACTTGCACGCGAAGTGCAGAGTCTAAAAGAGGAGCGTTAAAATCACTAGCCTTAATCAATGAAGTGGAAGTACTTGAACAATTAACAAGTAGTACCAGCATGGGCATTGAAGATGATATCCGAAGCTCGATTTTTTAGAGCTTGTGTAAATGGCCGGTCGTTTAAGTCCAGCGAAGACAAGAAGAAATGCAGAAAAGAGAAAGGAGTTATCGATCTCATCCGCCAATCCAGAGTGTTGAGAATAAGAAGCTCCATTTTACGAACCGTTTGCACATCGAAGACGAAACCTTCCCCTCTCTATTACATAAATAGGCATTTAAGCAAACCATTAGCTCTTCTGCTTCACAGTATATGTCTTTCTTAGTTTTTTTTGAAAAAGCGATACAGTAAACTATTTTAGCTCTACGAGAAGGGGGATTTGAACTTAGGTGCAAGAGAACGGCCATGCTGCAATGTGAAGGGCTATTAAGTTACCTGAAAATCAGAGGAGGAGAAGGGTGTGTTCTTCATCTTTGCAGCTAGAGATAGACAAGATACTTTCACAAGTCTTGAGACCCAAGGCTTTCCTTGCTGCAATTTGAATGGTGAATTATAATCTAAGTAAGGACTTAAAATGTGACATTATCTTGGAATTTAAGAAACTAAACTTCTTTATTTACCGGAATATCCCGCTTCGATATGAACCGATCCAGGTAGTTAATGGCAAGGTAAGGTATGAAAGGGTCAAGGTTGCAAGAATACTGAAACTGATAAAAATTGTCACAAGCTTAGACCAATCTGAAGAAGTAGATTACTAGTAGAAACACAAAGCCATCCTGAACTCCAAAAAAGTCATTATCCGCTCCCTTAACAAACGATAAATTATAAATAGGGAATTGCAGATTTTTTTTTTTTTTTTTTGGAGTGTCAATAACATCTTGTTTCTTTACCTGCAAAAACATAGAAATGGCTTCGAGGCGAAAAGTATAATAGAAACCAGTGTGTTTTGAGCTGCTTGGGAAGTTTTGGGAGGGCATGTGGTCAGTTTCTGAGGCAAATAGATCTGGGATTGCATCGGAGTTGTGTTCTTGAAGATCAAACTCATAATCCATTTCTGCTTTTTGATTGATTTGGTTTTGAATTAGTGAAGAAGTTGTTTGTGTTTGTAGGTTGTGAGGAGTGAATGAGGAGGTCAAGGAGAGGACGTTGGAGCAGAAATTGGAAGAGAGTAATAATGATGATGAAAAGCAGAAGCTTCGCATTCTGTGCTGATAAAGAAGCTGCTTTGCAGTGCCTGTGTGTGGTTAATTAAGTCTTCACCTTCCCGCTCTCTCTCTCTCTCTGTGCAGCTCCATTACTTTATATGCATGTTGGTCCCTTTTACTCGTTCTCTTCTCATTGTAAAAGTATTACGAAGAAAAGAATTGTCTTGCGTCAGAAAGTTAAGAAATTACATGTGTGTGAAGTTGACAGAGACAAGTGATTTACTCATCGGGTTAAATTACTCATATTTTAAACTTGTAATTTTCTTCACATGTGAATGAGCATATATATGATGATGTCAATAATTGTTTCACATTGAAAAATTAAGAAACCTTTGTATTAGGCTGGTATCGCGCTTTTCAATTGATTTTCAGCTGAAAGTTCAACTTCTTTTAACAATATAACCGTACACCATCTGATATTAGGTCTCAGCGTAAGAGTTTAGTTAATCTATAGAGGCGACAAAAAATGCTGAATAGTTTAGCAAGATAACATTTGTACATAATCATGCTTGCTCACGTCCATTCGGATTAAGGGTATTCTTGGAAGTTAAAAAAACTGGGTCTTGCATTCTTTATTTCTTATCAAGACTTTTGGGACCTGTATATGTCAGAGAGAAAACAATCCCACTGACCCTTAACTCTGGATCTAACTAATCACTATTGACCTGAAAAAGACCAAAATTTTAGATCATTTTTGTGGATTGCGATATGGAGATTGATGATTAAACTTTTTTTTAATGATTTTAAAAAGAGTTTAACTATCAACTGTATAAGAAATTTTTCATTGTGATATGAATATAGGTGATATATCACGTGTTTTTTTATAAGTGGTCAAAATTTTATTTTTTAAGTTATTAACTTTTTAACACACATATTTTACCATTTATATAATAACACAAGATATATTATCTAGTATGCTGATCACATTAAAAAATTTCTTCAACAGCACATCATCCTATTTACAAAAAAATGAGTTTAAAATTTGCATCACCGAAAAAAACAAATCATTAGAACGGCAGAAGTTAATGATGCTTAAGGAAAGAAATATTAGAATGACAATTGTCAGTCCATTGACAAACAAAAATACTGACACAGTTGAGTTAAACGAATATAGATCCTCTTCGGATCTGTGCAACCAGAGTCCAGGGATCAATGGATCCAGACCATTGAAATTTGATCCAACGGTTATAATTATTATAACTTTTAGAGAAACTCTCTATTTGTAGCCGTTGGATCAAATTTCAGTAGCCCTGATCTATTGATCCCCCGGTTCTGATTGCACAGATCCGGAGATGATCTGTGTTCGAGTCAAACAACTTCTAAATCTAACATTCAGCTTGGAATTTCTTTTTATTCTGTTTAGGGGTAATTCAAAACCCTAAACTCATATTACTTATTTGTTGGTTTTTATTATTAAAAACATGAGGATCAACAGAAATAGGATATATTAGTTTATTCCTGTGACACGAGAATTTTTCTTTCTTTGTGTCACGAGTGGATGACCATAACTTGTTTAGTAATATTTTACCTTAGCTACTTTGAGTACAATCAATTTCAAAAACCAATTGGACAGTATAGTTGGGATTGAAATCGATTGGATAGTTTTGATTCAGTTGGAATGGTGATACATTCTTATGAGCAGAAGAGTGTGACAATTAGTGGTCCCTTTTGGTTGTTACAAAACATAGCAGATATATGCACCAAGATGTTAAGAGAGACGCAGACAGTTGTGGTATCTATTGTCCCATTTTCCGCGATAAACGCCGGAACATTAAAAAGAGAAGGCTACTAAATCCATCGCTACGTACACAAAATGCATAACTACTTGCAGTAGTACAGCACGGCCATACCATCTTTCTCCTGTCCTCACTTTTATCATGCTTCTGTTTTCAAGAATTTGATCTTACATAACATCATGCTCGCTCTTATATGCTCGCTCTTATTGCACTTAAGTATAAGCTCGGTACATTATAGTTTACTAAAGTATTATGATTTCGGCAGTTACCTAATTAAGTGTAAGCGTAGATAGTTATGGATGTGCAAAACTCATTACAGAATTCACATGCATCAATCATTGACAATATTTATAAAAATATATGCATATAAGTATGAGTGCATTTTTTCTCATCATCCTAAAATGAGGATGATGCTCACCACTACTTCCTCACTAATTGTTGTTAATTAATTTTAAGATACGAATTTCCAAATTCAAACTTACCTAACCGCTATCAATAAATGATACAATTTTAGTTTTGAAACCTAATATATATTGTATAATTTTTCTATGCTAGATTAGGTTTTCTGGGAGCCACTTGAGTTTTC